TATAAATCTTAAAATAAAAATCTAAATATCAGTTGGAGCCCTGAGCCTTTTAATATGCGTCTTAATAAGCCAAATAATGACGAAAACTGCTTTAAACATGATTTGGTTTCAATTTCATGTATCATTTTGATATAATAAAATAAAAAATCACTGCCTATGAACTAATAACAATGACCGTGATCTTATAACCATAACCATCAGTGACTTCCGTGGAACATTTTAATATTTAACTCAAAACAACCCACTTAAATTAAATTAATGTTTACGCAAATACCAACTTATTAACCGAATTTGAATAGTAATTTTGACACCGAAATTCAGTACGAACTACAAAAAATCAAATACTATCCTTTTTCGATACGAAATTCAAAAGAAACCTCAGCGGTAGGTACTAGGTACCATACAGCTTGTTGTGGTTCATAATTACCAATCATTCACCATTAGGTGGCTATATGCACGTCCATCTTTGAGGGCTTTAAAAAAAAATCATATATATATACATAATATAAGCTTGTCAGTTTTTGCGTTGAGTTTTTATTTAACATTGAGGTAACATTAATTAATGTACATTAATTCAGCGTTTCTGCGTGAAGAATCAAAATCGTTAACGCAATGTTTGTGCTACTTTTAATAAAAATTCAAAATAATGAACAAATAATTTGATAACCCTTACTTAAAAATTATGTTTCTCCATGGATACCTACTCTCGTCAAAATAAAAATAACGAATAAATATATTAACTAAAATCAGTTATAGTGTCCTACTTAATAATATTATTGTCCGTTCCAATCTTTTTTATTATTGCTGTTCATGTCGTCAGTAGGTACTTTCTTTACGCGAAACTGTTACGTTTCAATCTTTAGGACACCACGGAGGAATCGCAAGAAGTCCGTATTTTCGATAATTAACAACTAAAACTACAACCTTACTTTTTAAGTTTTAAGGTCCAATACAGAATGACTTTGAAATGTATAATTACGCGAAATATGCTTTTACGTAACTTAAATGAGTCTTGCGTTCGGCTTTCGTAAACGAAGATATCGTGTAAAAATTGTGAAACTATCCGAGGCCACGACTAACACTAACAGTCTGGCCTTTGTTACGCGGATTAATTTCATTTGTGCTTAATTAAGTCCCTGTATGATACCTACACTTTATGCAACTAATACCAAGAAATGTAATGCTATTGGACTCGGTTGGTATAGGTATTTAAATAATAAAATAAGTAATAAATTAACTTGAAAAGTAAAACTACTGTCTTTCCGAATAAATGCGTTCACTCTATTTAATGGTATTGTCAAACAATTTAGTAAATATCACACGGTGTCTCTATAGAAAGTCGTCTTCATACAATTTATATCCTGTCCTGTCCTGGTGAAGCTGGAAAGACCTCAGGGCCAACAGTAATCTTTCAATCAGTAACTATAAAAAAAAAAAAAAAAACAAAAAAAAACAATTTATATTTTTGCCAACATTAACGTAAACTAATTGCAGCACGCACTCGTACGCGTACTACCTACCTACTATTTCTATTACACATTTATATATAGTACGTATAATAGAATAGAAAATGTTATATGAAAATATTGCAAAAGTATCAATAACTGTGTAGTCGGATAGCAAAACTATAGTCTAGTTAGATATAGAATAGATTAGACTTACTTAAGATAATTCGGATCGAATTTGCTTAAGGATAAAAAAACAAGTCTACAATATGAAATACTTATACGGACGATTAATAGTCTTCATTGTTCGCATCGACTGTCGGCTCCCGGAAGACAACGGCGGCCGGCGGCAGGCGGAAGGCAAAGAAGTATGTCTATTCCGCACTCCGAGACATGTGCTCTCCATTCCGTAGTTTATATCTACTGTTCGTCGTATAAAACGCTATTTAAAGAACGGATCCTTTGTTTAAGTGAGTATTTTGTTTTCAAAGTACTTAATTATAGAAAGTCAACTAAGGGTACCGCTCTATTACCTAATCAACAATATTAGACTTTTTAATCAAATGTACTTACAAGTACATAACACGAAATATGAGTACAATAGAAACGTCCTTGATTTAATTTAAATATCTTGTATTTTAGAACGAGCTTAAAAACGGAGGAGCTAAGCGCGAATCTAACTAGGATAGTGAACAGTTCCGTAGGCAGAAAACTCTGCCAATAAAGTACATAGACGAAATATGAAATGCTAATAATCTCCGAGTTAATGTGTTGGAAAGACTGATGGGACAAAATTAGAAGTTGCTTTTCTACTTTACTGGTTTACGGAATTCTGAAAAAGAAATTCTAATTTAGTTCATTTAGACAGACAGGAAAGACGAATGCGAGTTGTAAACAGCTTGCAGAATGCACCCATTCGGTACTCGCCACGAATACTCGTCCGTTTTTCACGTAATTTAGGATTTTAGCACGAATCAAAGGATTACATTATTGATTCTTTAAGCTGCGAATGCTTAAAGTGTTCACATAGTTGTCGTTGTTCAGTTAACTCGGTAACTTTGTCGAACGGATGAAAATGAATTGGACGAACGAATTTTTCAATGAGGTATCACAAAAGGAAATGTCGTTACAAGTTTCCTTTTTTTTGTGCATATGTCTGCAAAATCTACATATCTACGTGGTCGTAGTCGCGCACCAACTGTTTGCCAATAATCTAAATGTCATTGTTCTAAAAGTCCAGTGTACCAGGACTTAAATCCCTGCCAATAATGACCAAGACTCAAGACGTATTCATGAACAGCTTTGACAATAAATGAAATATTCAAAACAAACAACTAGAGAGCTTTTTCCGTAAAATTTGTCATTTTCCCTTTATTACATCATCTAGGGCAGGTGAGCCGGCTTGCGCACTTTGCAGCTGTGTTGTCTGTTTCTACCACGAAGCAGTCATACGTTCAAAATTCAAGGAGGATGAGAATCGTTTTATGATCAAGGTATACAAGTTGATCTCGACAACAGCAATTATTTATTTTATACCATAAACGGTGTTCTCCCGCGCAGCTCGTACTGTTGTGACAGTAGGATATAAAATAATATATGTATAATAAGTATATTTCCTTGTCGTGGAGGTAAGGAATGATTCATTGTGTTGAAATTGTGGATTAGTATAACACATATCTTTTTCGACATGATGATACTTTCTTTGTTATTACCTGAACGAAAACATATTAAACGACGGTCAGACGAACTCACAGCGCACCTGGTTTTACTAGGGCCCTTAAATAATCGTTTGGAACCTCTGGATCTGCGGAGGGACTTCGGTTCCCTCTGTATTTTGCACCGTATGTTCCGTGGGGAGTGCTCTGAGGAATTGTTCGAGATGATACCAGCATCTCGTTTTTACCATCGCACCGCGTGCCACCGGAGTAGAGTTCATCCATACTACCTGGAGCCACTGCGGTCATTCACAGTGTGTTTCCTGAGGTATTTTTGCCACGTACCATCCGGCTATGGAATGAGCTCTCCTCCACGGTGTTTCCCGAGCGCTATGACATGTCCTTCTTCAAACGAGGTTTGTGGAGAGTATTAAGCAGCTGGCATTGCTGAAGTCCATGGGCGACGGTAACCACTCACCATCAGGTGGGCCGTATGCTCGTCTGCCTACAAGGGCAACAAAAAAAAAAGCTACACCGCGAATTTGGCCTTCGTGTTTGATATTTGAGATCGAAATCTTTGTTGCATTCCATCCAAACCTTCAAATCAAATCAATCATTGCAGAATTAGGAAGTTTTAGCGGTGGGATAAATAGCACTTACGGAAAACGAACTTGGATGATACGCAACTTGCAGATTTGCAGTGTGAATGTGCATTACTTTCTTCGTGAGTGCTAAAGTGTAGGAGTTACTCCAAGAATGAACTTTAGTTTCAAATTATATTTGGATCAAGATAAACAGGATTACCTTATTATTTATATACTTTGATATACCTTGCTCTTATCTCCTAACACTGCAAAGAAAGTCATGGATTTTTTGGCTGGAACACGAGGAGCTAAGTTGTGTGAATTGTTTTATTTTGTTAATTTAATATTTATACAGGTTTATGCAAACAAATGTGGCCCGTTTAGAAATACAACCGAAGAAAGAACAACCGTTACATGAATAAGAATAAATATAAAAGCAGTAGGTAACGTTTTTGATCCGGTGGTAGATTCTAAGTTATAATAATAATAGTAGGGAGGGCCGCTCAACCATCGAAGCGGTGATGTGCGTGCGCGCCCTCACTCATGAGGCTGTCGGCCAGGGCGGGGTTGCACTGGCGGTGTACCTGGACATCGCCAACACGATCAACACCCTGTCCTGGTCGCTAATCGCAGATAGAGTATCACGGCGTCCTGCGTATCTTTGTCGGCTGATCGGGTCCTACCTCGAGAACAGAACGTGTGCTTTAGACACGGCGGGGCCGGCCGCGCGTCGTTGAAATAGCTCCTGTCAACTATGACGTAGAAAAAAAAAACAACTCATCAGCACTTAGACTGCTATTTAATTTCATTTTATTCTATTTCTTCTCACTTTTCGCGTACAACGGTACAATAGATGTGGTTTCAAGCTTTGGTTGGCTGAGTGAGAAATTTGGAAACATGAACTATCTTCCCTTAGCCTATCTAATAGAAAAACCAGACGAATAATTTGACAAGTATTGTCAAAGTTTATGTACCAATTCGTAAAAAACAATTACGGTACGGTACCTATCAAGAGAAGCTAAGGGAACACAATAATTTGAAAAATACATATTTAAGAATCGGAGAGTAAACTATTATTCATGGAAACCAAAGATTTAGGATAAATATTAAAGTAAAAACAAGAGCTACTACTTTACTTTATATAGATAAAGTATTCTTTAATTACCTTTTTTACCTAATGTTCATACTTATGCTACATACTCATTATTGTTTCAAAGTTGAATACTTAATGAAAACGTATTGTTTTACTCAACAATAAAATGAGTAAATAATTATTTAATATTTGTTCGTTAAATAAAATAGAAAACTATAATTAAAACCCCTACGCAAAACTGAATCTTCTAATCCAGACTATTAGACACGTTTATTAATAGCTGTAGCACACATCGGTGCCTCTGTGATTCAGTTTGTGGTTACCGTTAAGCTACTGTGGTTCAACTATGGCTTTAGCTGTTACGCGTGTGATTTTAAGATGTGAAGATGCCCAAGAAACACAAGTTTTAGGTAATCGAAGTTAATAATGCCACGAAATATTTGTCTACGCTTGTTTTACTCACATCTTATATAATGCTTCAGACAATTTCGCTTTACTAATTGGAAACAATTTATATACAATGAGTTAAAGTCAATAAGTGTTAGTGACTATTCACTGACACATGGGCTGACGGTCTTTGAAAGCAAAAAAGTAATTAAGTAATATAGGTAATGTTTATGCCGCTTTGTTTTCACTGTTCCATTTTCTTACTTTCATATTATTCTATATTCAAACGATCATTACTTTAATCTTTTAGATTAGTTCTGAACAATTGTTTAAATTAATCTTTATTATTTGCAGATCTATCAGAGTGTCAGCTGATGCAAGTTCCAGATGCAGTATATCACCTAATGAGACACACAGAATTGAAAAGTTGTGATCTCAGTGGGAATGTCATCACTAAAATACCTCCCAAATTTGCAGTCAAGTTTAGTCTGATTACAGGTACAATAAATACTTATTACAAAAAAGTCAAATAAAAGTGATTTATAACCATTTTATGGAATTTTTAAATCAGTTAAAAATATTCTGAACAGAACCCTAAACAAAACAATACCATTAAATGTTCGATAGTTTTCTTCCGTAAGGTCTAAAACATTATCTTCCTGGTATCGATAAACCTCAATGCTATTGCTAAGGGCTGTGGCCTCCCTTAATTACTCACTTGTGGACTATCCAGTGCCAGCCCTGTCTATTATCAGCTAGATGGCATTGTGGACTGAGGTGTTGAAAGTAGAGCGTATCTGGTCCAACCAGTCTATTGGACATCTGCCTCTGGGCCTTCAGCATAAAAATAACATAAATAAATTCTTACAGATCTCAACCTATCAAACAACCAAATGGCCAGGCTGCCCGATGAGCTATGTACACTTGCTTGTCTACAGCGATTGGACATCTCACATAATACATTCGTAGCTTTACCTCACATAACGTTCCAGTGTCCAAGTCTGCACACATTGCTCGCACATCACAATCAAATTATTGGTACTTGATTTTTTTGTTTTAAAGAAATTTTTGAAAGGTAAATCTTCAAAGGAAATTTCTGTGTATAGAATTTAAACATAGAACTTTTTATCAGATAATAGAAATGCCTAATAGATAAAATTGTATAACATCTTAAAAAACATATTTAAAGCAAAGACACTGGGAAAAAGCAACATTTTTATAACTTTGATTTTTACAGAAGTTGATGTGGACAGATTAGCAAGATCTCAAGCCCTCGAATATGTAGATCTTAGTGACAATCCCATACCTGCACGGACACATGATGACCTGAAACAACTGTCCCGGCCATCAGTAACTTTATCTGATAGACAGAAAGAAGACTGGGAAGAAGATCTCATACTCTAAGCAAAATTGGGCTTGCATTTTTGGCTGATAAATAATTCTACGAGTCAAAATGTTGTGCAATAATTTAAGTGGTCCTAAATAAGCTGTGATCTATCCATTAGAGATGAGAAGATAGGTAATTAAACTGTATGTTTTAACAGAAGGTGATATTATTGAGCTATATAGGTCAATAAGTTCATTCTTGACACTTCCATGGCCATGGAAATATATCATAATTACTGAAATGAAATGTCACCTTCAAAAGATCATGGTAGTGTCACTAACGAATTTATTTATAGCAATTAATCGCTCAAATGATTTTAACTAATATAGAAATTGTTTTGAATCACTAAATTCGAAAAATTGATAATTACAATTTTGACACATTTTGTATATTTTTGATACCTATTGTTTGGATGGTTATTAAATTGAAATAAATATATCTCTATGTATGAAATACTAGTCCATCATTTAGAGATTAGTTTCCAATGTATTTGGAATAAATAGATATTAAGAGATTACATAAATATTGATAATTATGGTGCTATGCTATCTTGAAGTACGTTGTGTTGCGCGTGTTTGTTAACATTTGTACAATAGTTTTATTGAAATACTTTTTCTATTAAACTTTGAACTATGTGATTAAAAATGAATTATGACCAGTGATGTTTCCCAAAGAAATCGGAATATTGTTATACCTATCCAAAAGGGTGGGTATGTTTTCTTATTTTTTTTTATAATATCATGGATTGGTAATTAAAATAAGCATTTTCATTAATGCTTCAATTAATGTATTTTATTTTTGTACATAAATCCTTCTTTATGCCTTTTAAATACCATCGATGGCTATCCCACAAGACACCCTAATATAAAAGATACCGCAAATATATAAATCCTTATCGTAGTATAAATAGGACGTTCTTTATTACGGGAGGTCTCAATATGACGGAGCGGAAAGAAAGCACTTTTATAATAAGGAAAGATGTGAAAAGTAATGAATTTCTAATTATAGAGGGTAAAGATAAGAGCAGCTGTCTTAAATGGGGAACGAGATAAAAATCTGTCCAGCTGTTCAGTGTGCTTAGTGCGAGTGTTCTCGATCGAGTAAAAGTTAACTCAAATTTGTAGGTATGCAGTTGGAAGAGCGCCTCTAGCGGCAAAAGTTCGAAATCCTTATAAATTTGAATTAACTTTTATCGATCGAGAACGTTAAAAAACTCCCATTAAGCACACAGTATCAGTCAAAAACCCATAGTTGTAGTGCAGCGAGTGGTATGATATGAACAGTTAATACACTTAATATTTATGAAACAGCAGTTTTCAACGGAGTGAAGTGTGCTGATTTAAAAATTTTGGTTTACTTTTGGCGCCAGTGTGCTTAGTGCGAGCTTCTTAACGTTCTCGATAGCGTAAAAGTTAAGCCAATTTTGTATGCAGTTGGAACAATTTCCCTAGCGGCAAACGTACGCAATTTTTTTTTTTTTTTTGGAGTTTACTCCTTTAGAATCGATTTACATATATAGGCCCGGGGTATGAAAATTATGGGGACCAAAATCGTACTAGCATGTCACACGAAATGCGTTATGCGCCTGATTGGCTCCTGATTGCGTGATGCGTGCGCGCGCCAATCAGGAGCCAACGCGCGGCCGCGTTATCGCAGGTGACGCCGGGCTGCTGCGCCGGCAGTCCGCCACAAAGCCTCGTACTGATCGCGCGTTTCTCTCATTATT